AAGAATCTCTGAACTTGAAGAATCAATCAATCAATGTTATTTATTGAGCATTTTCAGCCAGTAGATGTGAGGAATAAAGCACACATGTATTTAGTAGGCACACTCCCTTAATTCAAAATTTTTGCAGATGACTTAAAAAGTGAAACTTGGGTAGGGAAGAAGCTGTACAGCTAAGTGAAAACAGAAGCTGGACTCAGAATGCTTTATGGAGTCAGACTACCTTGGTTGAAATCCCGTCTCTGCCATTTACACACTGGGAGAAGCGGGATATGTCATCAAATCTTTTTCAGCCTCAGTCTGCACATCTGTGTAAGAGGAACAATAGCAGTGTGTATAGCATAGGATGTTGTGATGGTCAAATAAGGAAAGACATGTAAAGGATCTCGACAGGTTCACAGTACATGCTCAGTCAGTGTGGGTTGTTTTTAATGCATTAGATACTTTCTATGTTTGGGGAAAAAGAAAGGGAGGGGAAGGAAAGAGAAGCAAAGGAAAAGCAAAGAAATATCCATGTTATTCACTTGCTGAAGAAACCTCTTCCTTTTAACAAAGAGACATTTATCGCCTAGGCCATTACAGAAGGTTCATTGGATAATATAATGGAAAAGGTCTTCAATTACAATTTTGTGACAGACTTAGATAAGCCATTCAAATGGATATTTTTATACAGACCCTCTATAAAAGCAGAGAATAAAATATTATAACATCACTCCTCACCAAAATGCCCGTGGCTGGCTAGGTCATGTGGCCCAAGCGCATTGTTTCTGATGATGTAACTTATTACTGTGATCGAGCCTGGAGTACCTAAGCCAATGGCTAGTTAATGTGCCCATTAGACTGTCCCTTTCCAATAGTGCATATTAAGTGCACTTTTAGCAAATTCCAGATTGCAGTCAACTCCTGGTTGAATTCTTTGATGAGGAGCCAGGGCGTAGTACTGCCATACGTTCTTTAGATACAGACATGAGGGAGGCAGAGTTTTTATTCCAGTTGTATTAGAAGTATAAGACTTGGGTAGGCAGAAAGGTGGAGAAAACGTTCTAAGAAGAGCATATATCTGGGCACATATTCAAGAACATGATGATGGTTCAGCTTAATGTTCACATACTAAACCCGGCCTCCTGGGTCAATGCCCTTCACTTTCTTCCTTCTTCTTTATCAAATAGCAGCTTTATTAAGATAGGATTCATATACCATAAAGTTCACCCTTACTTTAAAGTGTACAATTCAGTAGTTTTTATTCAAAGGGGTGTGCATCAATCACCCCTATCTAATTCCAGAACATTTACATCACCCAAAAAGGAAACCCTATACCCATTAGCAATCTCTCTGTATTCCTCCCTAACTCCCAGTCCTTGGCAACCACTAAATCTACTTGCTGTCTCTATGGAGAGGCCTGTTCTGAACATTTCATATAAGTGTGATCATACAATATATATGATGCATAAACAGCATATGATTTACAAATACAAATATTTTCTCCCACTATGTGGATTTTCTTTTCACTTATTTGATAGTGTGTTTTGAAGCACAACAGTTTAAAATTTTGATAAAGTCTATTTTTTTCTTTTGCTGCTTACTTTTGGTGTCCTGTCTACACATCTCCTGCCTAACCTAATATCACATAGATTCATGCCTATGTTATCTTCTAAGAAGGAAGTGTTTTAGAAATGCAAAAGAAAGAAACTCTAAGAAGAAAGTTCAGAGTTTTAAAAAAGTTTTAAGAGTCCCAGCTTTTACATTTAGGCCTCTGATACATTTTGAGTTAAATTTTGTGCATGGTGTGAGACAGGGGTCCAACTTCGTTCTTTTGCATGTGGACATCCAGTTGTCCCAGCACATTTGTTGAAAAGACTTTTCTTCCCCCAAGGAATTGTCTTGGCACATGTATCAAAAATTAATTGACAATAATTGGGTGGCTTGATATCTGTACTCTCAATTTGATTTGATGTGTCCATATGTCTCTCATTATGACAAAACCTCATTGTATTTATCACTGTAATAAGTGATAAATAAGTTTTGTAATAAGTTTTAAAATCAGGAAATATATAACTTCCAACTTTGTTTTTCCATATCAAGATGTTATGGCTATTCTGGGCCTCTTGTATTTGCATATGAATATAAGGTTCAGCTTGCCATTCTCTGCAAACAAAAAGGCAGCTGGGATTTGATAGGGATTGTGTTGAATCTGTACATCCATTTGGGGAGTACTGCCATCATAACCATGTCTTTTGATCCATAAATATGGAACATCTTTCCATTCAAATTTTTAATTTCTTTTAATGGTGTTTTGTAGTTTTTGGCCTTAAAAGTTTCACACTACTTTTGCTAAGTTTATTTATAAGTATTTTATTATTTTTATGCTATTATAAATGGAATTGTTTCCTTCATTTCATTTTTGGATTGTTCACTGTGTATACAACTACAATCGCTAAACTTGATTTATTAGTTCTAACAGTTATTGTTTTTTGGTGTGCATTCCTTAGAACACTTTTTATACAGGAGCAACTCATCTCCAAATGTAGTTTTACTATTCCCTTTATTCTTAATGACTCGACCTCAACCAATGCTTTCTTGCTTTTGCTGTGAAGATTCATTCTTGCTCTTGCTGCCTCCTGTGGGGCCAGGAGGACTTCCCCTTTATGCTCTGACCAGGAGCACTTGAGAAAATTATTTTACTCTGGAGTCAGGTTGGCCTACAGAAAAAGATATCTCTCTCAGCATTATCTGTGGATACATAAAAGCATCCAAAAGCTAAAATGATGGAAAGGTGAGAATAATCAATAATCCGGGTGTTTGTTCATAGCCCATCGCCAAAGTTTTTAGCTGCCTCCAAGGACCATTCATCAGCAGTGGTAACCGAATCAGCCTTAACAAATTAGAACACATCCTGGCTGCCATGGCTATTTAGCTCACACTCTCACTGGGCCGGCACCAGAGTGGCCAATAACAGATATTGGCTTCTTCACCAATTCTGCCTAGTTGTTCAGTAGCTCTTCCATGGTAGGTGTTTTCTGCTGAATGTTAACATACAGTTTCAAAAATCTTCATGCTTCCACTTCCATAGATCCATCCACATGTCTTTTTACTAGACCTCCTTATCTCTTATCTGCCAATATTTCTCCTACCAGGGCCTTGACCAACCAATCATGCCATTCACCACTGCCCATGAGTTCATCTATATATATATATATATATATTTTACCTCAAGCCACCTCTCTTTCTACACAAAACTGATGAACCTAGCATCAAAACTCTGCTGGAAGGATTTCCCCTCATCACTGTCAGTGAAAGCCACCCTATAAGTGAACTTAGGCCTTTTTATTTCTCTCTTATCTGGTCATAAAGATCTTCCCATTAAGCCCCCAATGTGAGCTGTGGGGGATACACTAGTGCTGCATGAATGGATGGCATGGGGGTTCTGGGTCACCTGCTTGGTTATCTTATGCATTTTCTCCTTCTCTGCTTGTTCCAACCTTAGCTATACCATAGCCATCTTAGAATGGATTGCTGTAGGACTGGTCCTGCCTTATGACATCATGGCTTTGATCAAACCCAGCTCATGATGGATAATGTACTCACAGAATCCCTTGGTATCTCATGGTCAGAAGCTCTATATTTACCAGGGCCAAGTAGCACATCAGTAACTGCTTTTTGATGGTGGTAGTCCTCTACCGTAGATGGCAGGGATTTTTCTCCAGAACCCCAGAGGTTTACATTGTGATTCTTCTATTGGATCTTCCATAAACTCTACACATTATCTTCTCCTACCATAGATATCTCTAGTACCATATGGGTCTCCTGAGTCATATGGCTCAAATGCCAAGACCACTTTACCACAGTCTGGTCTGTCTGTTGAGCTCTTTCCTGCTCTGAACATAACTCAAAGCTCAGAGCCTTCAGAGTTGCCCAGCAAATGAAACAGAGCAATATTCCCAAGTACAGAATATGCTGCCTCCAAAACCTTTAAAGGCTATTAAGATTTATGCTACTTTCTTAGCAATAGGAGGTGTAAGAGACAACACTTTGTTTTTTAATTTGGATGGAATGTTCTGGCATTCTCCAGTACTCTGGATCCCTAAAAAGTTCATTAATAAGCTGGTGCTCTGAATCTTTCATCTCCACTCTTTGGAGCACATGTGTTTTGCCAAAGGTACAAACATACTTGCCACTTCTTGCTCATCTGGGCTGATAAGCATGGCATTGTCAATAAAATGGGTCAATGTGAGGTTCTGTGGAATGTTAGACATTCCATATTCCTCCTAGCAATATTATGTCAGAGGGTCCAAGTGTTACCATAATCTAAGATGAGATCATAATTGTGTACTCTTGTCCATCTCACATGAATATGAACTGCTTCTGAGCCTCTTTTCTTATAGGGATGGGAAAGAAGGCACTCACCAAATTCATCAGTGGTTAGTCAGTATGTTTTGGAGGCTATATTAATCTGCTCTAGTAAAATCACATTCAGCACAGTAGGTGCAACTGGGGCCACTAACTTGGTTAAGTTTGCAGTAGTGAATCATTCAGTTGTGATTCATTTCATTTTTTTAGGGGCCATTCTGATGAATTCAACAGGGATTTGTCAGACTCCCTTGTATTCTTTATATCTTTGAAGGTAGCACTAATGTCTACCATTCTCCCCAGGTTGCAATATTTTTTTATTTACTATCTTGGCTTGGGGGAGGCACAGTTGCAGAAGTTTCCATTGGCTAATATTTCTCACTCTATGGGTTAAGAAAGCAATGCCAATTCCACGGGTTTCTGCCAAACTCCAAGTATGTCTCTTCCAATTGACCATCAGGTGGGTCCATGAAACCAGTGAACACACTGTGAGCCAGACCTAGAATTCCAGGATCCCATTTATTATCTGTTCCCAGACAGCCACACTGAATGGCAATACTCCCCAAATGGATCTGCAGATTCAATTCTAACAGGAGGGCTATTATGGCATATGAGTCCCATTTTGGTTATCAGTGTAAATTCTGACCCTATACTCATTGAAGAGTTTGGATACTGCTTTTTCCCAAATACACAGTCACTTGAGTAAATGACTGTGGTCCCTTGGGAAAAGAACTGGCGGAATTTCAACAGTATATTGCTATGGATTTGCAGTCCTCCTCAGAAGCAACTCTTTCTGCCTTTGGTGTTCTGGGTCTGAGAACTGACTCAAGTGTGGAAACTTGGCAAGTAACATGAATTTCAATTTGAGAGGCTTTCCTCAGCCTTCTTATCATTCATCCTTGATTTTTTTTTATGTAAACTAAGAAATAGCCCCTTTAACTGCTAATCTAACTTGCCTGTAGAAATATCAAGTTCCATTAATATCTCCACATTTCTTTCAAGTTTAGATTCCCCCTTCAACTGAACCCAAATGCCACTTGGATTTTGCCACATAATGTGGTATCTGTGGCCACCTTGCTATCACTATGATATCTGCAACTTCCTTGCTTCTGAGGTTTGAGTGCCACCACTGGGACCTTTATTGTATGGGGCTCTAATCAGGCAATCAGGAAGTCCAGTTCTATATTAGCCTCTCCTACCTTGGCCCACAGAGAATAGTCATCACTGAGCTGTTCCCACTTGTTCCAGGGCATTTCTTATTGGTTTGACACTTGGAGCATCCTTCAGACCCTTTCATGAGACATATTCAACTGGTGGTTTCAGCCTTATACAGTGCCTGCACTCCAGTGTGCTAACTTCTTTGAACCTTGATCTGTTCCTTCACCATGCTACATGCCATTTCCAGCATTTTTACTTCACATAGCATGGGCCTTCGCTTTTTCCAGATCCTAACAGCCCTTTAGCAAGATAGTCTTATCATCTCTTGGATATTCACCAAAGTGTTGAATCATATAAAATGGAGACTATGCCTCATATTCTGCCCCTCTTGATCCAATACTCCATGGTTCAGTTCTGTACTGATGCTACCAGCTACTACTACAGGTACACATTTGCCATACCTATAGCTCCCGTGGCATATGCTCTCTCTCTTTCCACAACAGGCTCAGCATGTCTACCTCTAGTCTGGTTGTACTGAGATTCCATCTTCTTTATTGTGCTGTTTGGGGAGTTAGGGGTAATCTTGCAAAGTGCATGCCTCATTTGAGGTCTCTGCATCATCTTTAAACCAGGAGAGGGCTACTCTCTTCTAAAAGGCAGATGGGTGGAGGGGACTTCCGGAGCCATCAATTTAAGGTACTTAACTGCATCTATGCAGACATTCCAGTTCTCAGCATCCTCCTCCTTCCCTGTTTGAGCCCCTTACTTGGCGTAGGAGACTTACTGAGGCTAAGAAGTCAGTCCTCCCTGAAGATCTACTATTTATATGATTCAGTCCTGAGCCTAGTTTTCTATACTCTTGGTATTCTGGCTGCGGGAGCTTAGGGTTTCCTTAAATTCTGCTAAGAAGCCCCTCTAGCTTTCTTGTGTGCCTTGAAATGGTGATTAATCATCTGAGCATTATTTATCTTTCAAAAATCAATGATGCTCAGCAACAGACACCCAATTCCACTTATTAATTACAATTTCCCTTGTCCCTCTCAATCAGGAAGCGGGTACAATAGGCCTTGTACCCCCTTCTATGGACATCCCATATCAGTCTACCACTGGTGGAAGTTTTAACAACTGCTCAGGAAATTCCTCACTTAACAACTTCACTGCTGCAGCATCTCAGGGGCTAGCCTCACTCCACCTACTACCGGTGAAGAAGTTTGCACTGCCAGAGCCAATGACTGACCCATCTCCAAAACCACACTTTGAAAGTCAGCTTCCTCAAAACATGTTTTGTATCAACTAATCCTCTGATGAGAAGTTGCATGTGGAAGGTTGATTGGGGAGAGTTCTTGAGATGACACACATGTAAGGAAGTGAAGAGAGCAAGTTTGAGCAGAAAGAAGCTGAATTACAATGAAGCTTTCGCTGAGACCTAAGCAGATTCTGTTGGGGTTCTGGAACCTAACCAACCTTTCAGAGTTGTCCCAAACTGAGGCAAGAGAGCCCAAAGTTTAAATCTCCAAGTGTACAGTCACTGGCTAGAGTTATGCATGGGAGGGGCCATAACTTTGGATATGGCATTTCTTAGTGATAGGCATAGATTGGAACTGTGAGCAGTAAATGGCTGATATTCCAAGAAGTGAGGAGATGTGTATCAACTCTGAAGAGGGGACCCCTGTGGCACACGACAACATCTGTTATAATGACCTCTATTATGACCCCACCATGACCATCACCTATCTTTCACAGTGCCTCACCAGACTGGAATTTCCACATCTTTACTGATAACGTTGCTTACTTTGGGCATTCAGGATTGCTCTTAAAATCAAAAAGAAAATATTCTTCCATACCATACCATATCATACCATACCATACCATACCATACCATACCATACCATACCACCACAAATGATCCACTGAGTGTGGCTGGCACATGGGGCCATGGGTGACAGCCTGGTACCAATGAGTGCTGAGAAGTCTGGCCCAGGCCTCCACTCTGTGGGCACTCTGGTTTATAGCACCTTGTCTTTCTTTGACTCAGAAACTAATAAACTAGGTCTGGAACCTAAGAGAGAAAAATTTTAGTTTGTCATTACAGCTTCTTAACTATGTCATTGTCTTGGTTAATAATCACCTTGAAACTCCAGGGCATCACCCTCTAATTAATGTTGCCCTTCTCCTTCAGTCTCCTGATTCTCAAACCTCCAGGGTCAAGTGAGAGCCCAAAACAGTCTATCTTAGTTGAGAGAGAGAGAGAGAGAGAGAGAGAGAGAGAGAGAGAGAGAGAGAGAGAAGACGTCAAGTGAGAGCCCAAAACAGTCTATCGAGAGAGAGAGAGAGAGAGAGAGGCAAAACCAACTGATAGTCACCAAACCTTCCCCCTTTTTCTCCTTGACACAGAGTTAGTATTTGCCACTCTCTTGAAGTTAAGTGCCTGAACTCTGGACAAAAGGTTGTATAGATGATATACCTCCTCCCAGACCTTCCCCATAGATGCTCCCACATGCAGTTCTCTTATTTCTTTCCTCTCCTAGGAGCAGACAGGAAAGGGCTCTAAGGCATGAAGGTTAGAGCCATGAGATATAAGGTTTGAGGGTCCTTGGATCTCTGCATAGAAGAAAGCTGTCCAGGGGAGTTGCTCCCCCAAATCAGACTGATGTTACACAAATAATCATTTGCTGTATTATCCCAGTGGAGTTTGCGGGTTGTTTGTTATAGCTTTTGACCTACACTGACTAATATGGAGACAGCAAATGAATGTGAGTCAGAGGGAACACAAGGGAATCTGAGTTGTGCTTCCCACCAGCTCTAGGCACTAATTAGTAACTTTTTTTTTGATTCTCAGCACCCACCCAGTGACCAGATAGTTAGCTGACCAAAATAATCATTTTGAAAATAAACAAATATTCATCTGAAGGTCACCTTGATGGAAATAGGAGGTAGGCAAGACTTCCCAGTGATCAGAGGGTATAAATGCAGCTAAGATCGGGACCCACTGTCCTACCCTTTGGACACCCTGCATGGAGTTTTCATGGAGCAGAGAGTGACCTATGTTCCCTGCCT